GGGTGCTTCTGCTCTCCTGACTCTTCCGGTTTTGAGGCTACGGATTCTCCGGTTTCGGGTGCTGCCCATCAGTACTGGGGCTTTCCTCTGGGGCTCTATGGCCGTAGTTGTTTGGCCCCCACGTCGTAAGAAAAAGCAAAATCCAATTCCGACTCTTGTCCAACTTGGATTAGAAACTCTTAGTTCTGTTTCTTTATCCCTAAATTATGAATAGGATTGTTGCTTTTTTATCCACCCATTTGGGAATTCTGTTAGCTCCAACCTAGAGAACCGGCCATGGCCAGATCCAGGCCAGAGGACTTTTAGAGAAGGACACGGATTCATGGGGTCTCTGCTCAGTCACTCACGGGTTCTGTTGACACCATAGGTTCTTGGCCTTCTTGAGACTTTCATAAATAAACATGGAGAAAAGGAACAGGCAGAAAGTGGTGTCTTTATGAAACTCTGGTCAAGGCCTTCTAAAGTTGTGAGCTTTTTTGTGTTTGTTTTTGGAGCCAGGGTTTCTCTGTGTGTAGTTCCGGCTGTCCTGGAACTCAGCCCTGTAGACCAGGCTGGCCTCGAACTCACAGAGATCCACCTGCCTCTGCCTCTGCCTCCGGAGCAATGGGATTAAAGGTTTGGGCCACCACCACCCGCTTAACAGTAGGATCTTAACAATGAAAAGTGTTAAGGACATTTTTGTTAGAGGACCTAGAAATAAAGCTGGGTGTGGTGGTTTATGCCTGTAATCTCAGCACTGGAGAAATGGAGACAAAAGGATTGGGAGTTATCAGCCTCTTCTTTGTAGTGAATTCGAGACCAGCCTGGACTACCTGAATCCCGTTTCAAAGCAAAACAGCATGCCTCTGCCTCTGAGGGCATCTGTACTGATATGCCCTACCTACACGTAGACAGACATAATGCACCTACACATAACTAAAAATAATTCAAAAAATCTTTTTGAAGAAATACAGCTTTGATTATTTTTTTTCTAACTAAGCAATTTTGTTTGAACATAAAAGTTTCTGCCTTCACATTCATGTCTTTCAAAGTTTTGCAGCCAGTTGATGGTACACACTTTGGAGGCAGAGGCAGGTGTGTTTGACAACAGCCAGTGCTACAGAGAGATACCCTGTCTCAAAAACACAAAAACGAAACAACAAATTTGGAAGTACCATATATATTACATATAAAGATCCTAAAGTGGTTTTTAGTTTATAAACGTGAGGTGAATCTTTACAGTGTAAGGTAGACAGTTTCAGACAAGTGTAGCCCTTTGTGCCATTCATTCTGTTGATGGCTTCAGCTCCCTAGCGGTTTTCCCCTTGCCATCTTTGTTTGCAGTGGTGTCTTCTGTATGTTCTCTTCACTGAGAAGATAGAGATTGTTGTCTTCCTGCTAGTGCTTCTGCCTTCCAGCCTTCTATCGCTGTGGGTGAACTGTCATTATTCTATAAATAATTACCTTCTTTGCACAGTTAGGTTCAGCTGTCAACTTGACATACCAAGAGTTATCGAACAGGATTCTCAGCTGGGGGTTTGTCTCTGTTAACTGCCTTGTGGAATTGTCTGGCACTCATTTTCTTGATTGCTAATTGCCGTGGAAAGCCAAGGCTACTGTGAGTGGTGCCGTCCCAGACAGGTGGGCCTGGGATGAATAGGAAAGCCAGCTAAGTAGCCAGAGAGCAAACCAGAAAGGAGCGCTTCTCCGTGGTTTCTGCTTCAGCTCCTGCCAGACTTCTTCAGAGATGACCTGGTGTAAACTGAAATTAATCCTTCCCTCCCCTGGTTGCTTTTGGTCGTTGTGTTCATCACAACGGAAGTGTAGTCAGTTTTGAGTTTTCAGCACATACTGAGTTTATCACGAGACACAATTGGCCATGACTGTGGCATACATCACCATCAACCCTCTTCCACCCACTGGCCTCCTTTCTAGTCCATGGCTGTTGGCTCCTCTCCCTAATTTTAAATTTTGAAGTTATCAGCATTAATCAGCTGATCTTTTTCCTGATAACTTTTCCTCTCACGTGATTGTATACAGTCACATGGCTTTAAGTGACATCGGTATATTGACAACAATTGGGCGGGGAGGGGGGGTTGGTTTGGTTTGGTTTTTGGGACAAGGTCTCTCTTTTTGTAGCGTTGGCTGTCCTGGAACTTACTATGTAGACCAGGCTGTCTTCGAACTCACAGAGATCCACCTGTCTCTGCCTCCTGAGTGCTGGGATTAAAGGCATTGATCACCTTGCCAGGCCAGTAGTTTTATTTAGAGTAAAACCTAAACTCACTGAGCATGGTGATATCTCTGCCCGTGAAGACTGAGGCAGGAAGATTGCAAATGTGAATCCAGAATAGATTGCATGGTGGTGTAATACCTCTCCAAAAACAAAACAAAACACCCAAAATATACCCTTGCCTCTACCTTCTCCCTACCTACACAAGTCAGGATGACTGGCAGGTTTAAGCTTTGGATTGGTTTTGATATTAAAATGACTTTTTTTTTTTTTATGAGTTTATAAAGGTCAGGAGAAATGAGTGAAACTTGTATATTACTGGATCTGAGCCCTTTGTAGTCTGCTACACAGGTGACCTATTCAGGTGACCTATGAGAGAAAGAAGGTCACAGTAGGAAAATGCACCCAATCGTAGAGAAGGACTGGTTTAGTCGATGTTTTCAGCTTAACAAACAGTAATCCAACCTGTTATCTGTTTGTAACAAGATTAATAAAAGAAGAATAAACTAGGTCTGGTCTGGTGTCATAAAGGCATTAAAGACTTAATCTTGTCTCTAGGCAATTCCTGCGGACTGCTTCTTTGTGAAATGTAATGGAGTCCTGGTTGCTGCTAGCGACACGGTGCAGCATGGAGCTGTCTACACCTTGGAGCCCAGACTTTGTGGAGGGAAAGGAGGTAGGATGTGATGTCTGGTTTCTAACAGTGTGTTTGAAATTAACAAACTTGTTGGTCTCTGGTATACCAGCCTAGTTTTGCTTTGTAAAATCATTTTTACTCCGTTTTGGGTAATCTTTTTGGTTTATTCTTTTTGAGAAAAAAAAATAACTCATACAAACTCCAGCTTTCCAGGCAGGCTGCTCTTTGAGAGCCTTGGCTCCAATAGTTTAGGGAGAACTAGTCATGAAAGGTAACCATTGTCCCTTCTAGTTTGCTGAAGGGCAAACTTTGAAACAGTCAGACCCTGTTGCTGTCAAGATTTTGTCTCCCAAAAGGTGACCCAAAGTCACCTTCAGAAACAACTCTTGCCAGGCCAGGTGGATTAATGTCCTGGCTATAAACTGGTAAGGTTAAAGAGAGCAAAGGCCAGGCAATGGCGTACACCTTTAATCCCACTGCTTGGAAGGCAGAGGCAGGTGGATCTCTGTGAGTTCAAGGCCAACCTGGTCTACAAATCGGTTCTAGGACAGCCAGAGCTGACATACAGAGAAACCCTGTCTCAGAAAACAAACAGCCAAGCCAAGACCAGCCTAGAGTGAGTTCCAGAACAACCTCCAAAGTCACAGAGAAACCCTGTCTCGAAAAAAAAAAAACAAAACAAACAAAACCCAAAAAACCAAGCAGCCCTCCCACCCCCATAGCTGATGGAGATGCTGCTAGTGGGCAATCTGATGTGCTTCTTACGGCAGATTTGTACTCCAAGGGAAAGGCACAGGGTTTCCTACAATGAGCCACCTTATAAATCAACACATAGATTTTCTGATTCCGTATGTCTGGTGTGTGTTTGTGTTCCTGTGCATGTGTGTAGGAGTGCCTATGTGAGTTAGCACATGTATGTGGAGGCTGGGTTGAGATGGGCTGTCTTCCTCAGATACTCTTCATTTTATTTGTGGAGACAGGATTTCTCACTGACCCTGGAGCTTATCAGTTTGGCCAATGAGCTCCAGGGATCCTCTGGTCGTGTTGCTAGGGCTATAAGCACGTGCCCTTGTGTCCAGCTTTTGCGTGGATGCTGAGGATCCAGAACTCAGTTCCTTATGCTTGTACAGCATGCACTTTACTGACATAATTCTTTACCTAGGAATCTTGGAGTCTCTGGTATTGGGTAAAGCCTTTCATTGATCCTACCTGTACAGCATTTCAGAAATACAAAGTGAAAGGCAGAAAACAGAAAACTAATCAAAGTGATCAATACCTTTGTATCCTGGGTAGAAACCTTGATGTCCATCTCCTTTTCAAAACGAAAAAGGAAGAATGTGGAGTTTATTTTTAGTGTTGTGATAATCTGGCTTGTATCAGTCCTTGGCATCCTTAACCACTTAATCCATACCTGCATTTGTTTCAGGTTTTGGGTCTATGCTTCGAGCACTCGGTGCTCAGATTGAGAAGACAACCAATCGAGAAGCCTGCAGGGATCTCAGTGGGAGGAGATTACGCGATGTCAATCATGAGAAAGCGTAAGATATCCGCTTTGTAGTTGTCTCTTACACCTTTCTGGAGAAGTGTTACAATATGAATAGGAGTCCCGGGTGCAAGTGCCGCAGAGGGAGTACTAGTAAACCAGGCGTTACAATCGATCACCTGATGCAGTGAAGAGATTGGCGGGCTGTGGTGTGAGGTGTTGCTGATGAGAAATGGAATACAGTTTCACAGTAAACTTGATTTTTGTTTGTCCGTTGTGTTTTTGTTTTTTGAGACAGGGTCTCTCTGTGTAGTTTTGGCTGGCCTTTAACTACTGTGTAGACCAGGTCTACTTGCCTCTGCCTCCAGCAGCTGGGATCAAAGGTGTGTGACGCCAGGCCTATAAGTCAACTTGACTTAATAAGTAGGAGCATGAGTAAAACACTAGTGTAGTTGGTGGTAGAGCATTTGCTTAAAGTCCTGGGTTTGATCCCTGTGATCACCCTGTCCACCCCAACAGTAATAGTACAGTAGCAAGCATTGTGTCATGTGCATGACTGTTCTGGACTTTTATGTTACTTAGAGCTGGAGGGCTTTGTTTTGTTTTTAATAACACATCACCATAAACAGGGAGCAAGTGTTACTGTGACTACAGGGCCATTGAGCAATAAGTTTTTCATCTATATTGTAGTGTTGTGTCAGCTTCATGTGTGTGGTGTGCCACTGATCTAAATGCTATGTATGATACATCCATTCAGTTACATCTCCATCCTTCCCCAGGATGGCCGAGTGGGTAAAACAGCAAGCTGAGCGAGAGGCTGAAAAGGAGCAAAAGCGCCTGGAGAGACTGCAGCGAAAGCTTGCAGAGCCTAAGCACTACTTCACCAGCCCCGACTACCAGAGGCAGTGCCATGAAATGGCTGAGCGTCTGGAGGATTCCGTCCTCAAAGGTAAGAGAGTGAGATTTCCTCTGTGCTCTGCAGGCCCTGGAGCCATGAGCTTCACACCACTCACTCACTGTGACGAGTGGCCTTGATCACTTTGGAATGAACACCTTGGACCCCCCCCCCTTCTTTTTCTTTTTCTTTTTGAGTTTTTCTAGACAGGGTTCCTCTGTGGCTTTGGAGGTTGTCCTGGAACTAGCTTTTGTAGACCAGGCTGGTCTCAAACTCACAGCGATCCACCTGCCTCTGCCTCCCAAGTGCTGGGATTAAGGGTGTGCACCACCACCACTGCCTGCCTGGACCCCTTCTTTTATCGAATGCTAAAACCTACACCCAACACAACACAGAGAAAACATTTGGCAGGCCTAACCCCCAAATTTCTTAGGCTTTTGGGCCCCAGGGAAGAGCATCTTTTCTCTTGGTTGTTAGCTTAGCCTTTAATGGCTGAGCCATCTCTCCAGTCCATCTTTTCTTTTTTTTGTACAGTGTAGGGATATTCGAAGCCTTCAGGAACTGTATACAAACTTCTTTTTCGACACAGGGTTTCTCTGTGTAACATCCTTGGCTGTCCTGGGACTAGCTCTGTAGATTAGACTGACTGAGCTCACACAGATCCGCTTGTCTCTGCCTCCAAGTGCTGGGGTTGAAGGCGTTCACCACCACCACCCAGCAACCTCAGCATATTCCTTTTTTTTTTTTTAATTTTATTTATTTATCATGTATATAACATTTCTGCCTCCATGTATGCCTGCACACCAGAAGAGGGCACCAGATCTCATAACAGATGGTTGTGAGCCACCATGTGGTTGCTGGGAATTGAACTCAGGACCTCTGGAAGAGCAGTCAGTGCTCTTAACCTCTGAGCCATCTCTCCAGCCCCTCAGCATATTCTTTTAAGCAGTGTCCCAGGCCTGTTATGAATGTAGTTGATTTAAAGGGTCCTTTTCATCAAAAAGGCGGTGCTAGGACAGGAAAGGCAAATGCATGAAAATAGCTGTTGGATATGAACCTTCAGCTTCAAGGTGCACATTGGTGTTTTTAAAATACTGTTTTAAAAGACAGTTGGTAGTGGCACACACCTTTAATCCCAGAACCTGTGAGTTCAAGGTCAGCCTTGTCTATAGAGTGAGTTCTATTACAGCCAGGACTGTTACACAGAGAAACCCCCTCTCAAAAAAACTGAAAACAAAACAAAACGAAAAAACCTGTTCTAAGCTGGATGTGGTAGCACACGCCTTTAATTCCAGTACTCAGACTGAGTGTGAGTTCATAGTCTATACAGTAAGTTCCAGGCTGCCAGGCCACACAAAAAAACCCCATCCCTTAAAAATAAACAAGAGTGGTGTCACATGCCTTTAATCCCAGCATTCAGGAGACAGAGGCAGGTGACTCTTCTAGTTTGAGGCCAGCCTGGTCTACAGAGCAAGTTCTAAGACAGCCAGGGCTACACAGAGAAACCCTGTCTTGAAAGACAAACAAATAAATAAATGAAGGTGCTGTGGTGCTGTCCTAGCTGGGCATGATGGAGGGTCAGGGGATCAGGGTCATCTTGAGCCGCAGTGTGTGGAGGCTGGCTTGGCTGATTGAGACCTTGTCACAGACAGTTATGGTTTCATAATGCTTATCTGAAATATTTTTGAATTTGAGGTTAATCTCATAACCATATAAAAATTTGGCATGAAGAAAATTATATCTCATCAGGTAGGAACAGCCATAACTAAATATGTATGAAAAAACACATAAGGAAATTTGTTACCCTAATTAAAAGGTTTTTTTTTTTAGCATTCAGGGAGGCAAAGGTTGGGGAACTATCTGAGTTTGAGGACAGCCAGAGCTATACAGAGAAACCCTATCTCAGGAAAAAAACCAAAAAACCAAACAAACAAAGTTCTTAAAAAAGATTATAGCACTTTCTGCAATCCAGATGATATCCTTACAGAAACTGATTACATTTTCCACTTAGGTATGCAGGCTGCCTCCAGCAAGATGGTGTCAGCAGGAATCAGTGAGACTCGGAAACGGCCTAACAAGTCAAAGGCAGACCAGGAAGCTGGAGCAAAGAAAAGGAAATGCTTTTGGTAAGTCCTTTTTTTTTTTTTTGGTTTTTCGAGACAGGGTTTCCTCTGTGTAGCTTTGGAGTCTAACCTGGCACTCACTCTGGAGACCAGGCTGGCCTTGAACTCACAGAGACCCTCCTGCCTCTGCCTCTCGAATGCTGGGATTAAAGCGTGTGCCACCAATGCCCGGCTTGGTAAGTCCTTCTTTGAGGACGGTATAATGTTTCCCTCTTGTCTGTGCACAAGCGTACGTGTGTGTGTTGCTGTATCTGCCAGGCCACTCTTCAACCTTGGGATTCTCCTGTGTCAGCCTGCTGCTTGAGTCACAGATCACCAACATGGGCCACCACACCCAGGCTTGAACAATCGCATTTTTAGGTAGCATTGATGGGAGCTCGTTTGCAGAGTACTTTAGTCTTCAGGTTTTGTTGACTGGCAACCTGTGCACCTCAGTAGTGTTTTCTGCTGTGGATACCATTGGACAGAATCTGAATGACAAGTGTTTGTGTATACAAGTTTGTGTTTGTGTGCGTGCATGAGCATGTGTGTGGAGGCCAGAGGTCAGCATTGATGTCTTCCTTCGATGCTTTCACCTCGTTTTTGAACTTGGAACTCATCTGTTTGGTTAGATCTGCTAACCAGTGAGTTCCAGGGATCCTGGCTCTATTTCCTATTTCCATGTCAGGCCTTTACCTTCCTGGCACCTGAAAGGACAGCTTTTCTCCCTTCATAGTGAAACATCACATAACAATAGTCTTTGTCATTTTTTCCCAAGTTTTTCATTTTCGTTTTTTTGTTTTGTTTTTCGAAGAGGAAAGAAACTTTTTGACTTATACTCCCAGATCTTGTTCATCACTGAAGGAAGTCAGGGCAGGAACCTGGAGTCTGGAGCTGATGAAGAGGCCATGGAGGAGGTCTGCTTACTGACTTGTCTCTCATGGCTTGCTCAGTCTGCTTTCTGTTTTGGTTTTTTGAGACAGGTTTCCCTGTGGCTTTGAAGACTGTCCTGGAACTAGCTCTTGTAGACCAGGCTGGTCTCAAACTCACAGAGATCCACCTGCCTCTGCCTCCCGAGTGCTGGGAGTAAAGGTCTGTGCCATCACCACTTGGCCAGTCTGCTTTCTTATAGAACCTAGGACCACCAGCCCAGGGATGGCATCAACCATTGATGGGCTGGGCCCTTCCCATCAATCACTAATTAAGAAAATGCCTTACAGGTTTGTCTTCCAGCCCAGTCTTATGGAGACATTTTCTTAACTAAGGTCCCCTCCTTTCAGATGACTTTAGCTTTGTCAAATTGATATAAACTATCCAGCACAGCAATTGTGAATAAAGATTACAGTGTTCTCCCTCTTTCTTGCTGATACTAGGAATAGAACCTATGGCCTGACACATGCTAAGCAAGCATTCTACCACTGAGCTTCATCCTCAGACCCAAGGGTTTTCTTTATGGCTTTTATTGTGTCTAAGTGTCAGCAATTGGGATTAATATAGAAAGGGAAAATCTCAAGCATAATTTTATTTATTTATTTATTTTTGGTTTTATGAGACAGGGTTTCTCTGTGGCTTTGGAGGCTGTCCTGGAACTAGCTCTTGTAGAGCAGGCTGGTCTCCCACTCCCAGAGATCTGCCTGTCTCTGCCTCCCAAGTGCTGGGATTAAAGGCAAGTGCCACCAACGCCCAGCTAATTTTTTTTTTTTTTGAAGATTTATTTATTATATATACAGTGTTCTACCTGCCTGCAGGCCAGAAGAGGGCACCAGATCTCATTATAGATGGTTGTGAGACAACCATGTGGTTGTTGGGAATTGAACTCAGGGCCTCTGGAAGAGCAGCCAGTGCCCTTAACCTCAGAGCCGTCTCTCCAGCCCCTCAAGCATAATTTTAAAAGAATCATAATTTAAAGAAGGAACTAAGAGAAAATACAAGGAAGAGCGTGTGTACTGAGGGAGAACACTCCAGCAAGGGCATGGGCACTCCTGTTGGGTTTTACATGGTTGAATGCAGTTCCTTCTGTTTACATCTGTGGAATATACTTTTCTGAAGGTTACCTACTCGCCATCTCCAGGCAACCCGTACTTTTACGAGGTACAGGTTGGAAATGGTGTCACACCTTTCTGCTGTTTCCCACAGGTTGGGCATGGAAGGACTGGAGGCTGCTGAGGGCTCCAGCGCTGAAAGCTCAGATGACGACAGTGATGAAGCCCCCGGTACTTCGGGGTCTGGCCCGAGCTGCTGTGCTCCAGAAAATGGTAGTGATGGAGTTGAGGTGGCAGTTGACCGTCCTTGCAGTCCTCAGAGCTCAGGATTGAGCACACACTCCAAGTCTCCGGAAAAGCTTCAGAAAGACATGCCTGACCCTGACCCTGGGCAGGACATTCTGGAGAACACACAAACTGAGCTGGGAGAGACATGTGCCACAGAGCACAGCGAAAAGAAGATGGACACAGAAACAGAAGAGACCTCGGCAAAGGAGACAGAGGGTCCCACACCCACACAGAAGGACCAAGAGACAGGAGTGACTAGTGGGGACAGTGCTGCCATGGCTGTATCTGGAGAAAATGTGAAAAGTGTCCCCATTGCTAAACTGGAGGGAAGCCAATCAGGAGACACAGTATGTTGGTTTTGTTTTGTTTTCCCTCTTTAAAAAAATTACATATGAAAGAAGAAAAAACATCATATATGTATATATGTTTATTATCTATATAGCTCTTGGTTACCTGGAACTTGCTATGTAGGTCAGGCTGGCCCCAAACTAAAGATGATCTTCTGCCTGTACCTCTCCAACACTGGGATTACAGGCATGTGCCACCAACCCAGCCCCTTCCATTTCTTTTCAAATTATTATTATTTTATGTGTATGAATGTTCTGCCTGCATGTATGTCTGCATGAAACATGCATGCTTGGTACCCGTGGAGCCAGAAGAGGGCATTGGATCCAGTGGAACTGGAGTTACAGATGGTTGTGAGTTACCTTATAGGCACTGGGAATCAAAGCCAGGTCCTCTGGAAGAGCACCCTTAACCACTGAGCCCATCTCTCCAGCCCCTTTTTAGTTTAGTTGTTTAGTTTTGAGATAGGGTCTCATTTCTGTGATTGGCTTGGAACTCACTCTGTAGCTCAGGCTGCCTTGAACTCAGCATCCTCCTGAGCCTTCAAAATCTATGATCACAGAGTAATCCACTGTGAGTTTTCAAAGATGTACTTCCTCCCCAACAGCTGCTTAGTGAAAACAGTGCAGACAGGAACCCTTCTCCCCAGCAAGCTCTGGAATTACACTGGTCACCACTAGGTGGTGTCCTTTTGCCTTGTTTCATCAATTCTCAGACATGGCTTCACTTTTAGCACCTTTTTTGTTGTTTGTTTTAAGCCCAGGGTTTACAATGTCACCCAGCAGGCCTGGAACTACCTGTGTGGAGCACACTGGCCTTAAATTCACAGAGCTCCATATACTACTTTACAAGTGCTGGCATCACCATGCCTGCTTAACTTTTGGGTTTTATGTGTTTATTTTGTTTTGTTAGTGGTTGTTTATTTGTTTGGTGGTTGAGGAGAAGGATTTTATTGTAAATTTGAGGGAGTAACAGCCAGAGGCATCTAGAAGAGTCCAGACTGAACAGGGCCTTGGTGGGGGGGGTACAAGAGAGGAAGAGGAGAGAAGAGAGGGCAAGTGGACCAGGAGAACCAAGAAAGTGTGTGGCCGCTGGGGGAAGGGAAGCAAAGGCCTCCTACCCCTTTTTTGTTGTTGTTGGTTTTTTCAAGACTGGGTGTTTCTCTGTAGCCCTGACTGTCCTGGAACTTGCAGTGTAGACCGAGCTGGCCTTGAACTCACAGAGATCTGCCTGCCTCTGCCTCCTGAGTGCTAAGACTAAATAATGTATGCCACCACTTGGTGGTGTGTGATTGTGTATGTCTTTCTGTCTGTCTGCCTTTATGTGCATATATATTAGCATCTAGGGTGCTCACAGAGACCAGAAGAGATCCCTTGGAGTTACAGGCAGATGCTTGTGAGTTACCTGATGTGGGTGCTAATATCCAAATCCAGTCCTCGTGATAAAGCAGCAAGTGTTCGTGAACATTGAGCCTTGTCTCCAGCTCACTGTTTACTTCTTAATACACAATGGCAAGGCTGTATTGATACTTTCGAGTTAATGAAATGTGCTGTATTTCCTACCAGTAAATTGAATAATTGTCAGCTGGCTTTGAAGGTCTTTTCTGTGGAAGAGAAAAACCCATCCTTTTAAGTGTATCATTCAGTCTGAGTCTCACATATTGTCATTATGTCCTTTTGGTTGGGAACCTGTTTTTTTTAAAGAACTGAACCATCTCTCCAGCCCTTACATAGCAAGGGCTGTCCCTAGAGCCCATGTGAGGGGGAGAGGAGAGAATGACTCTACAGAGTTGAGCTCTGACCTCTGTGTGTGCATTTCATGGCACACATGCCCCACACTGCCAATAAAGTTACATTTTAGGGAGCTAGAGAGGTGGCTCAGCTAAGCGCACTGGCTGCTCTTACGGAGAACCTGGGTTCAATTCCCAGACCCACATGGCAGCTCACAACTGCCTGTAATACCAAGATCTGACACCCTCACACGGACATGCATGCAGGCAAAGCACCAGTGCACATAAAACAAAGAGAAATCATGTTTTAATTTTTATTTAAAATAAAACAATTTTTTTTTTTTTTTTGGTTTTTCAAGACAGGGTTTCTCTGTGGCTTTGGAGGCTGTCCTGGAACTAGCTCTTGTAGACCAGGCTGGTCTTGAACTCAGAGATCCACCTGCCTCTGCCTCCCGAGTACAAAATAAAACAATCTTATTTTAATTCTAATCCTAATCCCCTCTCCCTCCCATCCTCCTGATAAATAATGTTTATTAAAAAAAAAAAAAAAATGTGTTCCAAGCTGGGAGTGTTGGCACGTGCCTTTAATCCCAGACTCTGAATCTACAGGGCTAGTTCCACAATAGCCAAGGCTACACAGAGAAACCCTGTTTTGAAAAACAAGAAAAAGAAAAACTAAAAATGAGAAAGTGAGTGTTCCAAGCTGGGACTGGTGGTACACACCTGTAATATCTCAGCATTTGTGAGGCAGAGGCAGGAATAGACGAGGGCTACATAGGAAGACCTCATCTTAAAAACCAAAAATAGAGGCCAGGTATGGTGGTACATGTTTGTAATCTGAGACATCAGGAGTTCAGGGTCAGCTTCAGGTACATAAGCAAGTTCATGGTTAGCTTTGACCTCATCTTGGGGGGAGGGAGTAAGGGGAGGATCTGCAAAGGAATCTATGCACGTTGCTGTCTTGAATGTTTGTGTCTAGGTACACTGAATAGAAATGAGCTTTCTGTGTGTATCAGAGCTGCATATGGAATGGTGTCTAGATGACAGGTCAGTAAATAGCAGGGTGGTGGTACAGTAACCAGCAGTTCATGGAACAGAATGTACTTGGTAATTATAGTCTTCATTCGGAGGAAGGGCTGGCTTTCATTGTTTCCTTTTCCCAGCAGGCTCTCCGTCAGGAAGCTGTGGATCTGTTAGCATTCAGCTCCGCAGCAGAGTTGGAGTCGCTGGGTTTGGAGAGGCTGAAGAGTGAACTGATGGCCCTTGGACTGAAGTGCGGGGGCACCCTGCAGGAGCGTGCAGCCAGGCTCTTCTCTGTCAGGGGCCTGGCAAAGGAGCACATTGACCCAGCTCTGTTTGCCAAGCCTTCAAAAGGGAAGAAGAAATGAATTTCCTCAGCTCTCATGATTTTGACACTTCCTCTGACTTGATGTGGACTTGTGGCCAATGTTCCTGTTGATACTAAAAGGCGGTTTTTCAATAACTCACTTCTAACTAGTCTCTCTTCATTGGTACCTGGGCTTGAGGTTTTCATCGGAGAGAAAAAACTTTGTAGGTTATTTTCCTTTCTTTTTGGTGTTTTTGGGAGAGTCTCACAGCCAAGTTCCAGGACAGCTAGGGCTACACAGAGAAAAACAAACAAATTAAAAATTGGTGGAGACTCACTCTGTAGTCTGGACTGACAAACGACTTTGTAGTTCAGTTTGGTCTCAGACTTGCAGTGATCCTTCTGCCTCAGCTCTGAGCCCCTGCATCTGCTTTGTCAGGCGTTCATAAGTTTCTTAGGTTTTATATTGTGTCATTTTGGTGTGTTTTCAGAAAATTTATTTGTAGACAGTTATTCGTAACTTGTGGTAAAAACCTCTCTCCTTCCAATACTGAGTGTCTGTGTACTACAAGGGATGGGACCTAGCTGCTCCCATGCCTCTCACACTGGGGGTTTACTTTAGCAGGGGTCTATTTCGTTTGGTTTATGAATTGTTCTCAATTGTCAGTCTCATTGGCATTTGCATTTTGTTTCCTCTCCTATGTACCTTGGGTTTTCTTTACTCATTTTTCTTTAGTTCCTTTAGATCACTGATTATAGATTTTCTTGCATTTATTTTTTTAAGTATATTGTCCAATTAGCAAATATTTGTTTTCTCTAAATGTCTTATTGATACTGACTATTCAGGTCAGAAAATACCTTGCAGTGTACTGTTGAAAAGAACAAGCACAAACCGGGTATGGTAGCCCACACCTTTAATCCCAGCGCTCAGGAAGGCAGAAGCAGGCAGATCTCTGAGTTTGAGGCCGGCCTGATCTACAGAGTGAGTACCAGGACAACCAGGACTACACATGTTCTCAACTGGCAGGGGAGTGTGTTCTGGAATACAGGTCATGTGAGTGGTTGGTAGGATTATTCCTACAATCTGTCTGTGCTGGTTTGTTTTCACAAGGAACTAAGAGAACATTAGAATTATGATTGGAATTGCCTTTTTTGAAATAAAAATAATCTTATTAGTATTTGTTAAGTTGTCGATTATGTATTAGGTCAGTGATCTTACATGCATAGAAGTTTCTGCATTGCCTTAAAAAATCTTGCTCTGGTTGGTTTTAGATTTTTTTATTTCACCTTTGACAACTTCACACACACACATATATATATATATATATAAAATATATATATATACAGTATATCTTGGTCATGTCCACATGTTCACCCCATTTCTACTTCTGTAATTCTAATGTTTTTACTTTCTTTCTTTCTTTCTTTCTTTTTTTTTTTTTTTTTTTTTTTTTTTCG